TAAAATACATTCTAACAGAATACATAGAATACATTTTAGCTAGTTTAATTGCCACTATAAATAATTAAAAACTTGTTACTTGCAACTTGCAATCGTATTTCTAGATGATAAAACTTAACAAACCAATAATTTGCAACTTAACAATCTTGAAATTTTTGTACAATAGAAAAAAATAGTAAAATTTAGCAAACCATTCTTACAACAATGATATTCTATGAGAATGCTCTTGAAAGAATGCTCATAGAATGTATTCATTGCTTCATGATGCTTTGCTGAAAGGTTTTCAATCAATTCTTACACTGTCATTTACCATGTTTGTCAGAATAATAGACATCAAATCAATGAGTGTTACTAACCTCATTCTAAAAGAATATTGTGTTTTCTCATTCTGAAAGAATTTGCAGGTTTGAATACACCAAAATAACATAACTACATATATTAACTTCAATTCTAAAAGAATATTTAATTTCCGTTTGTTGCTTAAACTTCAATTCCTTAAAAAATTCTAACATAATATTATCTACTTTACTTTAAACAAAATATTTCAACACAAGTATAAACATGTTATTATAATTCTAACAAAATAGTATGTAGTTTAGCTTAACATATTCTAACAGAATCTTCCCAATAAGTCTAACATATCAAACTTGCCAATTGTATGACCAGAGACAATGACAATGTCAACAAAAAGAAAAAAAAAACTACACATAGTTTTTTCTTCAAACAAAAAATAAATTGGTAATCCATTATCATTGCTATCGACATATTCAATATATATTATAGTATATGCATAATTCTTATACTATGGAAAAATTAAGGTGAAAATTCGATTAAATATATAACCATAATAATGATAATACCTGAAAATGATAAATTACTTTGTGAAATTCTGGAAAATCTTAAAATGGGATTTAACTGATCATTCGCTCTTCTTGATAAATCGTCTGTCATAGATCAAAAAAATCAAATAGTTTTAGGTTACTGTCGACGCAATACAACTTTGTTAGCCAAGAAATACAACTTTGTTTGCTTTGATGCCCACTTGTCGTTGAAGTTAAGCAGAACCAAAAACAAAGAAAAACAAACCTTTTTATATGTTTTAGGTTACTATCGACGCAAAAGAACCAAAATTCATGTTTTTTTGTTAGCCAATTAAATCATAGTCATAAGAAAACACTTCAATAATTTTAGAAATTGATAATCGACTTTACAATCTATTTTAGAACCTGGTCCGGACAAAGCGGGAATAAATTTGCCGTCGATTGTAGAGATCGAATTTCATATGTTGCGACACCATCATCGTCGGTGCAGGGGACCAACACCGGAAAAACGAAGGGATTGGTGGCTGCAGGTGGAGGGTCGTCGGTGAAGAGGGTGTTTACCAGGATCGAAAAGGGAAGAACACAAAACCCTAGGATGGAGGATTTTTGGCTTGGGTGGAAGTCGGCATTTTATGGTGACGATGATGAAACGAACGATGATTTTTTAAGGGTTTATAAACTAATTATCTTGATTAAATGCTATTAAAGGGAAATTGACCCATTATTTTAGGGATTATAATTTTGGAATATAATTAATTGTACATACATAATGACTAAATTACCCTTTATTATTTAATTAATGATTTCTTTTTTCCTAAATTCTAATTGGTGCATTTAGACACACAATATTTGCTAGAAACATTGGAACCTAGCTCTCTCTCTTCTCTCTCTCTCTCTCTATATATATATATATATATATATATATATATATATATATATAAAAAATTAAAAATTAAAAATTGTTTAAATTGTTTAAAATATATCATGATGACCACTTATAACATATTTAACATGTTAAGTTTTTCAAATATAAAATGTTTGTTCAAACCACCCCAACACATGAAACGTTCATCATGAACACCCATAAATCAATAACCTTTGTTAACAAAAACGTCGATCACCACTTAAAAATTGGGATTTGATTGAATATTTTTCTTTGTTTTTGTAAGTTTATGTCAAATTTTATAAAACATTATTTAATGCAGTATTATCCATATTTTAGGAAAAATATTTATGACCAATTTTTAATTGATATAATTGAAAAAATAAATTGAAAACTTTAAAAATTTATTTTTAAAATCGAAGTTTATTTTCATATATTTAATATTTTAATTTTTTTATCATAATTACAATATTTATGCATAATTTTGTGACCAAAGCTTGTTGGTTTTTTATCGTTAATTCGTACCATTTTATTTCCACTTTTTATACAATAATACATAAAATTTGATATGTATTTGTTAATTATCTATAATAAAGTCATAAAAGAATTGAAAAACTCTTTTAAGTTTAAAAAATATGAGTTTTTTAGATTTTAGTTTATTTTAGTAGTCTACAAACGTTAACAAACAAACAATCTTCTTCTTTCATATTGCAGATGTTTGGTACACCTCTTGTACTGCAGAGGTTTGCAAATGTGGTCCGCAGACTGCAAACATTTTGCCTCAGAAAAAAATAAACACCTAACTCTTCTTGAGCTAGATTGTACAGGCTTCATGCAAATCGGATGCAACTCAGATTGTCAAGCTAACTCGAGTTGTCTAAGGTCTTGTTTGATAGTTGCTGATTGGGAAAGTGCTGACTGAGAAAGGTTTGTCTAGGTAATAAATTCTGACTGAATAAGAAACCATAATGTTTGATTGTACATCTGACTAAATGTGCTGACTAATGAAAATGACCATTTTGCTCTTGATATCAACATGAAACAACAACAATCCACCGGTAAATGGGATTTCTTTTGATCATTAATTTATCCAAAAGATTTCTGGAAACTTTACTCTTGTGTTTCCATTCCACCATTTCCTAATCACAAAGATCATAAAACTTATCAATACAACTATTATGCTACATCCACGAGTTAATCACGTATAAGAACCTGACTTGAGTTCATAATAGTCAACATTAAAAATACATAAGTAGTTTTTGTAATTAGCCACAATTCAAAACTCAAAACAATAGAAAATGAATAATAAAAATGTCAAAAAAGAATTCCTTTTTAACTTGTAAGAACCCAACTTGAGTTCGTACTGAAATTCAATTTTAACTTGTAATCCTCTTCTCCTGCTTCATACAAAAACATATTTTCTAAATCTAGAGATTGCTTGCCATGGCCATTTTCGGAAGCTTGTGTATTTTCCCACGATGCACAATATCGTTGTGATTCAAGATTCCCCGAGAACGTAATGTAAATAGAGTAAACCCACCAAACCTTCAGTTTCGAACAACTGAGAAGAGATTTCACTGTTAAGAATCCCAAACCCTCAAATGAATTCTTTCGTTTGTTGACAGTTGATCCAACTAAGAATCATATTCGTAGAGAACTCTTATCTCTTTCAACAATTAAACAACATTATTTCAGAGCAATACTCAACATTCTCCGGATAATCATACAGTTATATACAAAATCATAAATAAAATCGATTTCACAGATAGAGAAGAGAAGAAAGGAAATCGATTTCATAGATGGAAAATAGGATAAGAGAAGCTTACCGGTTGAAGAAAGTTTGTGGAACATTGCTGCTAACCTTGAGATCGACTATAGAATAAGGCAAGAAAGGTGCTGATATCGGTTTGCCTTTGCAGATGTCGGGGTGGGCATGGAGAACGAAGGAGAAGAGAAAATTAGGGAACGAGCCTTTTCTGTTTTGATCAACGGGTTTTTTTAGATGACCAAGTCAGACATTCCTGACCGAGTAAGATGCAACTGAGGAAAATATCAAACGTACTCATCTGATCGAGTCAGCCAAATAGGTCAACAACAAATCAAACAATGTCTAAGTTGGTGTATACCGACTTAATCCTTAATGTAAAACCTAGTAATCATGGTTGTTTTTTTTTTCACTTTAAATAGTTTTTTTTATAATATTTTTTAGTTCATTGGTGAATTCGAATATTATAAATAACCGTTAACCAATTATAATATTAATTCAAATTTTGACCTGATAAATAGGAAGTCATAATTATATTTTTAAACATTTTAAATAGTTCCTTACCTTCTGATGACATGTTTTTTTACGGATGTTTTTTTAACTTTTTAAATAGTTCCTTACTCAAAATCCAATATTAATTTTAACTAATAAAATAACAAAACAAAAAAGAATTATATATGTTATAAGAAACCAAACTATCCTTTTCCTTCACCAATTTATTGTCAAAAGAGAAGTGCTTACAAGATTTCTCTCTCTCTAGAGGATATCATGGATTGTCATGTTCCTATCATTCATGACCAGACTTGGCGGTCAAACTAAATACCGCGTTTTCTTCAATATTCATAAACCCATAAATAATAAATAACTAGAAAGGTTACCACCGCTACGCGGGGCTAGAAGCTTTTAATGTTGTTTCCGAATTGATAAATATGACAGACATAGAAAGTGCAAGGATAAAAAGTCCGGGCTTTGCCCCGGACAAAAAATGTAAAAGTTTTGACTGCAAGGACCAGAAGTGTGAAAATGACTAAGAATTAAAGGGGTAGAATTAGCAACTTTTAGAAAAGGGATCAAAGTTGTCAAACCGTTTAAAGTTTTGTGGCCAAACTTTAAATATTAAAAGGTTCCAAAAAGGTGTAAAAATATGATTGCAAGAGGACTAAAAGTGTCAAAATGGGTAAAAAATAATGTGCGAAGTTACCAAAAAACATCCAAATTTAGTATTCCTAACCTCCAACATAATACAAACAGGGACCAATTCTGCCAAAAAAAATGGGAAGTTGAATGAAACACAAACAAAAGGACATTAATAATTAATTAAAAATACCAAGGGACGGGATGTAAATCAAGGGACCAAACCTAAGTATGCCAACTTCCTATTCCTTTCTTTCCCACAACTTAATATATATATATATAATAATATAATATAAAACATAAAACATAAAAACATATTCTATTCTGAAAAATTCTCATCCACTAATAAATTTAAACCTTTCTTTTATCTTGTTATTTAGAAAATGCTAGAAATTAACAGCCTTTCAATTAAAATCCGAATGCTAACTACGGATCAATATATAATTTCATCTATTTCTATGACTATCTACATAATATCTAGAAGCTATATACAAAACAAAAAAAAAGATAGAAAATTAGAGTATATAATTTATCTACTCATTAAGCCAATCTAGACTAAATGACTCTTCTGCCACTTTAACACAAAGATCAGTCAACTCTTTCCCCATTTCTTTCCACTGCCATGAAATCTCTTCATCACAAATCACCCTTCTCAATGATCTCAACCACTTAATCGATCTTGGCAACCTCTTAATCCTTGGGCATTCCCTCATATCTATCTCCTTCAAACTCACACACCCACCTATTTCCTCATTCAGACATTCAAGATTCAGACACTGAGAAACATCAATATAATCCAACCATATCAGATTCTTGATTCCACACGGAAGCTTTTTCAGCTTTGGACATGCATACACTCTCAAAATCCTTAAAAAAATCAGCTTCCCGATATCAAACGGAAGCTCCTCAAGACTCTCACAGCTTGTAATGCTTAAAACCCTTAACGTTTTCACCTGACAAATGCTCGAGGGTAGTTTCGTCATTTTGGTACAGTGGTCCATTGTGAGGTGGGAGAGGTGTGGGAATAGATGGGAGAGGTCTAGTTCTGATTCCTCTCTTAGGTTTATCTTGCAGAGGAGAAAAGAGATTTTTTCTAGATTTGTGAAGGGTATTATCGTCTTTGGTAGTTCAGGAATTGTGATTTTTTCCATCCAGATGCTTCTTAAGTGAGAGGATTTACCTAAAACCCATAAATTTTGAACCTCTGAGGTTTTTGTGTTGTAGTTTATTACAACTAAAGCTCTAAGTTTTGGCATGTTTTCAATGAATGGAGGAAGGATATACTCGGTTGAATCAAAATTCAAGATCAAGACTTCAGCTTTAGGAAATTCCATTTTTGACCAATCCGTTTCTTTCATTTCACCTATTCATTTCAAGAATTTGCTATAAGTAATCTAAACCCTTGAAATTTAATTTGGAAAATATGGGTTCTTTTTACCTGTATGAATTGAAACAATTCTTGCAAGAAATTGCTGATCAATGTTCCTCTCCCATTCTTTGGGTAACCCTTTTTCTCTTCTTGCCATAACAAGTCTTCTTCTGTTGTTAACACTCTCAAAGCTGCTCATATGAATAGCAAGGTCTCTTAACACATCATGTTGACACACTGAGATCTCACAGTGGCTACTATATATATCTCCAGCCCTGAAATGTTTTTTGTATTAAAGATCAATTAAATAACCAGAAATCAAAATTAATTTTCTTGTATATATACCTTTCTTCTTTCATAAGGGTGAGAAGATTTTTGTTTGAGAGCTCGAGAATAATGGCAAAAGCTTCTTCATCATCGATGTCATGAAGCTCAGTCCATATATTGATAAGAACATCTAGAGGAATCTTTTTGTCTTCTGGGAAAGAACCCAAATCAAGAAAGCAGTTTCTCACTTTTTCTGAGAGGTAATCGATGCTGAGTTTCATCCTGTTGAGCAACTCGATTTCATGGGAGTCGCATATTGGTTGGGCTCTTGATAATCTGCTGTTGGCACCTCTCCAGTACATTTCAGGTTGATCTCTTAGTGAAGCTCCGATCACTTTCAGAGCCAATGGAAGCCCTTTGCATTTCTCCACAACCTGTTCAACCCAAGACTCCATTAACAAAGGGTTCACGTATTTATTGATTAAACGAACAAGAAACAAGTTATACCTGTTTGATCAGATTCTCATCAGATCCAGGAGGTATTGAGGTTGTTCCAAAAGCAGTGTGACAGAAAAGGGAGATTGCTTCTTCTTCTCTTAGCAGTTCTAATTCATAGGTTGAGTTGAGAACTTTAGATGGAAACTTGATACGCGAAACCACAAGAGTTTTGCAACCAGGAACATTGAAGATAAGCTGGTGGAAAACTTGATCTGACCAAACATCGTCCAAAACTACCAGGGTGGGTGTCACTGTGTTCCGATGGTTATATTGATTAAGTGGCCATTGGGGGGATATGTCAGAATTCCCATTTAGTTTGCTTCTTGAAAGAAACCCCCAAATATCTTGCCTTAGTTGCTGTACATTCGGAGACTGGGATACAGTCAAGGAACAAGATCTCATTATTAAAGTAACCTGAAACAGAAACACCACAGAAGCATTTCGTCGAACACTTTAGAGGCAGCAAAAAAAGGAAAAGAAAGTTAGGAGCGAAGGAGTTCAGAAGTTCACGTACTTCGTACTTCATCGTCTCTGCAAATTTCTCTGGCTAAAGTAGTTTTACCACTGCCGCCAATTCCATTGATCCCGATAACAACCAAATCATCTCTATCGAGAAGCATACCTTTAACTTTCCTCTTCCCCAGCTCCATTCCAACCTTTTCCAAACCACCCTCATATTGCTCCTCCTCGTTCATATTATTCATCGCCTCCTCCAACCACCATCCTTCACCGCCTCCTCCGATTTTCATGGACCCGAGCCGCTGCTCCAGCCTCCGAGCGGAGCCCTCAAGTCGATCAAACCGCTCGGTGGTCTCGAATCTCACGTGATGCACGTCAGCGAGGACGTGAGCCTGAAGCGGACCCTGTAAGAACCTCGATATCTTCTTCTCGACCTTCTCCATCTTCCGCGACAACTGTAGGTTCTTGTAGACGTTCCAACGGCTGGAGACGAGGACTTTTCCAGCGAGTTCGAGGCCGTCGCGGAGAGCTCTGGAGAGAGAATCGAGCTGCATCTGACGTGTCGGGGTTAACTCCACGCCGGAGTACTTGATTTCTTCGATGATGGGAAGGAGTTCTTCGATGGAAAGTTTAAGCTGCTCGGCGCTGGGCTTGCAGAGGCAGGCCTTTCTTGTAATGGTTATTAACATTTTAAGAAGCTCGGTGGCAATCTCTCCGGCAAAGAAGTCCGTGACCGCCATTTTATTTGTCCACCGGAGCCGGTGCGTTTTGCAGAGAAGGAAGAGGTTGAGTAATTGTGTTGTTTATACCAGCGAGAGTGGGAGATGGGTCATGTGAGTATGTGACGTTAATGTCAACTAATGGTATTCAAATTACTCTTCTACCCTTATGCCCTTGTTCTTCTTTTCTTTTCTTTTTTGGAAAAAATGACTTATCAAGGTAATTAACTTTTCGATACGATCACATCTGGGTAACTATCTTTTTTTGTATATATCTAGGTAACAAACTTGTTGGAAGTGTTCACATATGATAATTATGACCTGCTGTAGCCGGTTACATCCTAAATGTGAACATTTTTGACAAGTTCGTTACCTAGATGTGTACAAAAAAATAGTTACCCAAATATGAACGAAAAGTAAGAGGAAATTACATGAATGGTCCCTGTGGTTTGGAGGAATTTGTGTTTTTGGTCCCTAACTTATTTTTTTAACTCGGATTGTCCCTACTATTTATTTTTGTTGCGTGTTTGGTCCATGTCTTATCTAAAAAGACTATTGTGCTCTTATTAATTTATTTTTTAATTAATTTTCTTATTTATGTATTTATTTTTTATATATTTAAAAAAATTAATAGACCCCACATATCTATATCTCCTCGGATGATCCCTACCGTTTATTTTTTAATTAATTTATTTTTTTAACTCGGATGATCCCTAGTGTTTATTTTTGTTATACGTTTGGTCTCTGTCTTACCTAAAAAGACTATTGTGCACTTATTAATTAATTTTTTTAATTATTTTTCTTATTTATGTATTTATTCTTTATATATTTAAAAAAATTAAGACCCTGCATATCTGTATCTCCTCACTATCACATCTCTCATCCTCCTCAACTTCTATTTATTTTCCATCTTTAGTGATATCGACGTCTTCACCATCCCTTCTTTTTTCGGACCTTCAACTCCGTCGAATTAACACCACAACCCGGTGAACCCACTAAAGATGAAGAGATAGTGGGTTATGGTGTTGGTTCGCCAGAGTTGAAGGACCAAAAAAAGACAGGTGAAGACGTCGATGTCACTAAAGATGGAAAAGAAATAGAAGTTGAGGAGGATGAGAGATAGGAGGTGACCGGTGAGTCCCAATTAAATTCTCAAATGTGCTTTCAGGTTACGTGAGGAGATACAGATATGGTGAGGTTATTAACTTTTTTAAATATATAAAAAATAAATACATAAATAAGAAAATTAATTAAAAAATAAATTAATAAGGGCACAATAGTCTTTTTAGGTAAGACAGGGACCAAACGTGCAACAAAAATAAACATTAGGGACCATCCGAGTTAAAAAAAAATAAGTTAGGGACCAAAAACACAAATTCCCCCAAACCACAGGGACCATTCGTGTAATTTACTCTTACTCTTACTTCGTTTTGTTCATATTTGGGTAACTACTTTTTTTGTACACATCTAGGTAACGAACTTGTTGAAAGTGTTCACATCTAGGATTTAACCTGCTACAGCAGGTCATAATGGTCATATGTGAACACTTCCAACAAATTTGTTACCTACATATGTACAAAAAAAGATAGTTACTCAGATGTGAACATAGCGAAAAGTTAATTACCTTGATAAGTCATTTTCCCTTCTTTTTTTTCAAATATCTTTTACCAACTTTTTATCCAACAGAAGCGTTTTATCCGAAGCTGTTTAAAAATATCTAAATAAAAAATTTTAATCTAATTTTTTTTAACCGGTAAATATAATATATTTTTAAACTAATACTTAATTTCACCTATGTTAACTCTTTACCTTAAAAAGAAAGAGCACCACCTAATACTGTTGGACTATTAGCCCTTTGGTAAAAAAAAATTAATCTAATATGTTCTAAAATTCATATTAGTATCTAAACTTTTTTAATTTCTTAGTTTAATTTTTTTGTGAAATTTACAGAAAAATCTCATTATTTTAGGAAATTAACGAGTAATTCCTAAATTTAATTTGTTAAAAGAAAAGCTAAGAAACCGGTAAATTTCTTCACTTTAGCCCCCTTTGATATGTTCAACAGGTTATGTGACAAAATCGTTAATTTTTTCAAAATTTTGTGATTTTTTTAAAGATTTTTCTCAAAAATTTGTATATAATGTATAAACGTATTTTTATGTATTTTTTAAAGTATTTTTAGG